CCCCCCCCCCCCCCCCCCCCCTCGGGCGCTAAGACCTGAGAGTGCAGCAGCGGCAGGTCATCTCTCACAATTGGCTTCGTCCCCCTAACGTGAGCATAGCGAGACCCCACTCGGCACGCACAAAGACAGACGCCTGACGATTCTCATAATTTCCGGTCAACCGGAGAATAAGGTTGAGCTGAACAGTGACACTTAGACTTGCTCACCATCTCCACGCGCCGGATGGACAGCGACCTCTCCTCGCACGGCTCGCACGGCGATACAAAGATCCTGCCTCGTGCTCGGCCCTCCTTTATCCCTGTTTCCACCCTCCGATGCAGCGCGAGTTAGTATATGTCGGTGAGGTGCGTCGGGTGGTCCGAGTTGACAAGACCCACCAAAGCGGCTCGGAAATTGGCAAAAGCCAATTACGGTCTGCGCTGGAGCACAAATAAAAAAGAATATAACGAATCCGAATCTCCGAATCTTCGAACGAAGTATGCAAACCACTTATTTGCAACACCTTTGCCCACGCCAAGAGTACCAACGCCAACCTTGCGTACCCCCCCGAGGCCCTGCTGAAAGCTGGAAGCAGGGAAGGGGCTGCAGCTGGCTGGCTGCTGTGTCACGTTGCACTAGTGCTATTGTGCTATTGTACCTGCCTTGCCCACTCTCGTCGACATGACCAGGACACACAGATCGAGAAGAATACCGCTGCCAACCCTGGCCGCGTGCATTGTCCTCCTCCAGCGGGGTAATTGTTTCCTCTTGATACCCAACACAGCAGCCAGAAGCGGCTCCCACGGGTACGGATCAACAGCAACAGCAACTCTACACCGCGCTGCTGCTGCTCCATTGCCACTTTCACCAGCACGATGTTGGACGAGCGGGGTGGGCGTTAGGAGAGGACGAGGAGGAGTGCAGATAATGGCGGGCGGGAACCCAGCAGCGGCTGCTGAAGCCTTGGAGGCCGAGAAGGCGGAGCGGGAGGCCTTGAGGGCAAGGAACGATCAGGAGTGGCAGTTCTTCGACACGGCCAGGATCAACGTCAAGGCGGGGAAGGGCGGTAATGGGTGAGGCTGTTGTTTTGGGCTGACCTGTGTGATGATGACGTCTGGGATTGAGGACCAATGCTCACTGCGGGTTGTGTGTCTAGTCGTAGGTCGATTTCACCACTTGTGTACCCGGCCGTCTCGACCGCACGAGCGTGCTGACTGCAACTTGGAGGGAGGGTGACCGTGCCCGGTGAACGAGCTACAAACGCCAGAGCTAACGCGAGTAAAACAGCAAAACATATCTGGCCCTGCCTAGATCGAGTGTCAAACACAGCAAACAACTACCTGGCATTTCTAGACTTCCATCACAGGCACAGCAGTTACAGCTGAGATCGGGTTCTTGCCAACGCAGGCCGAAACATGTCACATGCTGAACATGTCATACGCTGTTACAATACAATACACCATCTCTTTCCCCTTCCAAACCTCCAGCCCTCATGACTTTTCTTTGGGAGAGGTGTTTCGCAAGAAACGACAATGACCACGGCAAGAGACCAAGGGATTGGCACAAAGCAGTCACATTCAGCAGAGGAAGAGAGAGAGAGAGAGAAAGATTTGAGGATCAATCACAATATTTTTGTCCACGCACTTTGCTGTTGGGATTGGAACCTTCCGATTTTGACATGGGAGCAGAACGCATGCCTTCTGGCAAAAGCCGAACCCAAGCGCATACCCACCAGAAGGGCTTGAGCCAACGAGCGCATCTTCGTAGGGCAACATTGATCGCCTAAATTCCCCGCATAGAATGTTTTGCCACGCTGTACCTTTCGCGACCCGCAAACTCTCAAATGACACCTTCCAACAGGTGCATCGCAACGCGGCGCGAGAAGGGCATCTCCATGGGGGGCCCTAACGGGGGTTCCGGCGGTCGCGGCGGCTCCATCTTCCTCCGGTGCAGCGAAGGCCTCAATACGCTGGCCATGGTGCGCCACAAGGTGCACTACCGCGCCACGGACGGGCAGAACGGCCAGGGGAAAAGCCGGACGGGAAACTCGGGCGCGGACGTGTATGTCTCGGCCCCGCTGGGCACGGTGGTGCGGGACCAGGAGGGCGTCCTCTGCGGGGAGCTAACCGAGCACGGCCAGGAGCTGCTGGTGGCGCGGGGGGGG